ATATGCTCAGAAGGAAGGAGTGGACTACAATGAGATTTTTTTCTCCCGTAGTTAAGCATATGTCCATTTGTTTGTTGTTGGCTATTGTTGCACAGTATGATTTGGAGTTGGAGCAGATGGATGTTAAAACAGCATTTCTGGATAGAGAATTAGAGGAGCAAATTTACATGGAGCAGTCTGAGGGATATCTCTACGAAGGTGAAGAGGACAAGGTTTGTCTTCTTAAGAGGTCTCTATACGGGCTCAAATAATCTCCGAGGCAGTGGCAGACTAGGCATCCATGTAAGGACCTTGAATTTTCAATATTGGTTTAAATAAATTTTCTGGTACTTTAAATATTAAATTATTATTTTACCCGATTTTCTAAAATTTGCTATGATTTAATAATACGGTTTTATATTTATTTAACAAAATTATAATTTATAAATTTAATTATTACGGTAAAGACTTTTTAAATTAATAATTGATTATTCATTATTGTTATTAATATTTACTATGCAAAGCATAATATACAATAATGTTTTTTTTTGTGATGTAATACACAGAGTATATATGCAATAATAGATACACATATCATAATAAATGTTGTAGTTATAAATGAGTAGGGTAGTTATATACAAGAGCTTGAATTTTTGTGAACTCATTTGAAAATAATCCAAAGTTGTTGCTCCCCGTCAAATCCCCAGCAACCATCCCTCCCTCATCACGTTCTCTCCCTCCTCACTTTTCCAAGGAGACGCCGCCCATGCACATTCTCACTCATTATTTTATTTTATTTTTATTCAATTTTTTTTTCTATTTAAGCCTCTCTCTCTCTCTCATCTCATTCTCTCATCTCTCTGAGTCCCAGCCGCCTAGCATCCTGTGGCTCGAACCTACGTCGGCCGCCATGCCTGAGCTCACCTCACCGCGCCCAAGCCTCCACCGCGCCGTCAGCCACCGTCGTCAGTTGAGCTCGAAGTCAGCACTGCTCGCCCTGAGCTCGCCGCTTCGATCTCCCGCCACTCGAAGCTCGTCACTGCCTCACCCAGAGGCTTTTTGTCGTCTCGCTCTCGCCTCTCCCAGCTCTCCCCTTCCAACTCCCACATCGCCTCCAGCAGCCGCCATCGTCACCTCCTCTCTCCCAATTAGCCGCTTCTTAACCCGCGACTGTACCGCCCCAGAGAGCTCCCCGCCGTCGACCCCCACTCGCTACTCCTCTCCCTCTTTCTCACTCCATGTCACTCCGCCAAAACTCCTCTTACCACCACGAGCTCATCACTCGAGCCCATTTGCTCAGCCACCAGCGACTCTTCCTGTCGAGTTTGCACGACAACCAGCTCCTCCTCTCCCTCACCAGTCACTGATGCTGCCGTCCAGCTCCCCGACGACCCGCTGCACGCATCGCCGAAACAACGAACAACAAGTAGCCATCACCGCCTCGTTCGTGACCCGTATCCTCACACGGTAACGACGTATCGATCGACAATAACCCGAGGCAAGATCCTTATTCTTTCTCAGTACAATTTTAGATTGATCACAAATTAATTATGCATAAGAACTCGTTTCTCGAATAATTATTCGTTATAAATATAGAACTATCGTGAACATATTGAACTGAGAACTATAACGTATAGAACTGTCGTGAACGTAATAGACTGTGAACAATAACATATGACCATTCACGTTGTAATACATATACTGTGATGACCTGCACAGATTTATTTGACGAACGATATTAAAAAGTACTAAAAATAATATTGTGATAATAGATACTATAAAGATAAAATAAAATAACATTATTTTAGATTAATTTATAATTTTAAAGAATTTATTTGACAAAATAATCATTTTAAAATAATTATAATAAACTATTTTGGTGAAAAAAATCATTTTAGAGTAATTATAATAAATTAATAGAATTTATTTGACAAAAGAATTATTTTAGAATAATTATAAATAATTTAAAAGAATTTATTTTAGAATAAGTATCGATTTAGAATAATTTCAATAATTTAAGAGAGTTTTATGAAAGGAATTATTTTAGAACATTTATAAATAATTTTAAAGGATTTATTTTAGAAAAGGGATTATTATGAATTATTCATGATTTATGTTTCTTAATTTTAATTATGTGATATGCTATGATATTGTTGTATATGATTAGTTGTATTTATTACTCTTTGTCATGTTTGAGAACCGTTAGAAATTCATGACTAGTGTGGCCTGGTGTGTCCTATTTAAGACTTAGAAACCTGTGTGTATGTTAACTTAGAAAAACAAGAGAGTTGGGATGGGAAAGTCTTGGTTCATATGATCGGATAAGGCTGTTAATGTATCTTCCAGGCTCGCACCAGTAGTCAGTGTCGCCACTGGGGTTGGTTTGTAGGGCTAAAGTGAAGTGTGTACATCACTTTGGTCAGTGGGAAATTCATTTCGTCACCCAGGTTCTGTTTGAAGTTCGGACCAGGCAGAAAATGGATTACGTGTAGTCCTCTAGACCGCATGTGTAGCGGGATTGGATACACGTAGGAGATTTTTGAACAGTCAGTTATCCGATGATATGAACGTTGACTCTGTGTGAGATATGTACTAGTGACATGTTATACAATTGCTAGTAGTATGACCTCGTTACTTGGATGAATAGTCTAATCGCTAGCTGCATGACCTCGTTACCCGATCGATTTTGGATTCTTCTGATTATTATATTCTAGTGGTGGATTTCATTTAGATTATTACTATTATTATTATTATTGTTTTTGCATTGGTCGTTCGACCATTTCTACTTTCCTTGTGGGATCTTGTCGTGTGCCATGCACGCTGACGTACACCTGTTTTCTCTTGTATATGTCAGATTTAGAGGACGAACAGGTCCATTATGATGATGCATTAGAGCAGGAGTATGTCCAGCCGGAGTGTCTTCCAGATGGAACAGAAGAACAGATAGAAGCTTAACCTTTTCTTTTCCGTAGTCGCTGATGGACACTAGATTACTTATGTAGTACTTTATCCTTTAGTCTTTCGAGGGACTTAGTTATTTTTGCAGTACTTCCTTCTTATTTTGTTGGACTATGTATTTTCTTATTTTAGTTGGACTGTTTTGTAATAAGGGTATGTTTGACCCAAACTTTGTGTCTCGGATGATATTCTATTTATGATATGTTTCTTTTTGTTCTGAGTTGTTCATTATATTCTCGCTATTGTGATCAGGAATCTATGCCTTTACATTTATTTCTTGACGCTTAGCGTATTAGGTTGAGGAGAAATGTTTAAAATTTTATTTATTCTCCTTAATCTAATACGCCGCGGGCTTGCTTGCGTCCCGGTTCCCTGGTATTTTGGGAAGTGGGGCGTGACAATCCAACATATTTGTTGTTATATGTGGATGATATGTTGATAGCTGCAAAGGAAAGGGCACAAATCGAGGAAGTCAAGCAGTTGCTGAAGATGGAGTTCGACAAGAAGGATATGGGAGCATTCAGGAAGATATTAGATATGGAGATCTCACGAGACAGGATTGTTGGCAAAATTTGGCTGTCCCAAGATAATTATATTCTCAATGTGTTGAAAAGGTTCAACATGGATGAAGCACGATCGGTTTCTACTCTTTTAGTTGGTCACTTCAAATTATCCTAAGAACATTATCCATAAATAGTTGAGGAGCAGGAAAAAATGTCTCGGATACCATATGCGAGTGCGGTGGGATCGCTGATGTATGCTATGGTTTGCACTAGGCCTGACTTAGCCTATGTAATAAGTTCAGTAAGTCGATTCATGTCAAATCCAGGAAATTAGCATTAGGAAGCGGTAAAGTGGATTATGTGTTATCTACGAGGGACTGCAAAGGTGGGTCTATTATTTTAGTCTTTAGAGGATAAGGTATCCAAGAAACTACAGGGATACGTCGATACAGATTACGTATGCGACCTTGATCCACAGAGGTCAATGACGGGGTATGTATTCACAATTTCTAATAGTGTCATTAGTTGGAAGGCTGAGTTACAGGAAATTGTGGCTCTTTCGACGACTGAGGCGGAATACATAGCTACAGTTGAGGCATCAAAGGAAGCTTTGTGGTTGCGGGGTTTGGTCAAGATGTTTGACATCATGCAGGATTCAGTACCTATTCATTGTGACAGTCAGAGCGCGATTCATCTTGTGAAGGATCACAGGTATCACAAGTGGACGAAGCACATTGACATCAAGTATCACAAGATTCGATAGTGGGTTGATAGAGAAAAAATGATTGAATCGGTGAAGATCAGTACAAAGAAGAATCGGACGGATATGATGACAAAGGCCATTCCAGTGGAGAAGTTCAAAGCATCTCTAGACTTCATCCACGTTCTTCAGAAGTAACTTTGGAGAAATACTCTTTGAAGGGAGTTGTATAAAGTGGGGTTAATTTTGGAAAATCTTCGCGAAGGATTGATTCAACGTGATGTGAGTCAAGGTGGAGATTGTTGAGTTCATGATGACTCAAATCAGTTGAGAAGTATATATATATTTATCAATCAATGGGTTTAAAACAACAAGAAAAAAAAAAGATATCTATATTCCACCATTGTTAGGGGTTTGTAGTTTCAACCTCTTGTAATCTATTCTCAAAACAAATAAGATATTCCCCCTTCTCCCTGTGGACGTACACGTATCATCTTGATCGCGTGGAACCACGTTAAATCTTGTTGTTTGCTGTTTGTCTTGATTGCTTGGTAGATTTAGGGTTTCTTGTGTGTTTAAATTTTTCTTCCGCTGCTCAAATACTCCAACAATATAGACATTATTACACCCCCTGCAATGGGCTAAATAGGCTGGCCTGGCCCAAAATACGAACTTGTTACACCCTTATCTTAATTCTCAATCTTTATTAAAAAAACATACTTGCAACAAAGCCAAAGAACAAACTAGGCTTCTACTGTTCTGACGATTACAACAATGGCATTGGTCTCGTGCTATATATATGTAAACCCCTCAGTAGTGATCACGAACCAATTCAATCAACTGCACAAAAGTTACAAGAAATGGCTCAGAAATCATTGGCAATCTCCATTCTGTTGCTTAGGATCCTCTCCTTGGCTCTCCTCTTCGTTTCACTCGTTATACTCGTCACCGTTACAGTTAAGGATGCTGATCCTGATACAGGGGGGAACCTCACGTTCAAATATTTCTATACCTACAGGTTAATTTATTTTCACTTTTTCCCCTCTAGTTATTGCTCTTTTTTGGTGTTCGGTTAATGATCTATTTGATTCGATTTTGTGTTAGGTATGTTCTTTCTGTGGATGCCATTGGAGGCGCTTACATGCTTGTTCAAATACTCTTCTCGGTGATTAGTCTCATCACGGGGGACTATTTCGGTAGCAAGTTGCATATATGGCTTCATCAGTTCTTTGATCTGGTCAATTTTCTTTTCCCTCAGCTTTATATATAGTTCTTTTGCTTTTCTGATTAATTTGGAAATAGCAAAATCAATAAATAAGTCATCTATTCTCACAAAATTTTGACGCCCTTAATTATGCAGGTCTTTGCTTTATTTTTTGCAAGTGGAGTTGGTGCAGGATTTTGGCTTACTTATGATGTGAAGAAACAACTCGGTTCAGCTGTTGCGCTTGTTCCTGGTCTTAATAAATACTTCAACTTGGTTTATGTTTCAAGTGGATTTCTTCTCGCTGCTACTCTAAGCACCGGTGCTGTAATCCTCTCGTCCACATATGTACTTGGGAGGAAATAATTAAGTATTTGTGAATCTTGAATTTCTAAATATGTAACATGATGATAATTTTATATCTTTTATATCGATGTAATAAAAGATGAATTTGGTTGAATTTATTGGAGAAGGGAATCATTTGCTCGAATCATGTTCTGTTGAGAGAATCATACGCAGGCGTTAATCATCCAATCAAGTTTTTGTAGTGTAATGTTCAGATAAATCAGTATTTTATTGGAATCAGATAGTAGGCCTTGCAGGCGTGCAGCCCATTACAGCCCACAAGTGGTTGTGTTAGTAAAATGTTCAGCCATTCCGATGCGAGTTAAATCAGTTGGAGTTGTGTAGCACGTGTGAACATAATGTATGTTTCTGAGACGAATACAAATCTCCTCTTGTGCATTGCTGATCTATTTGTGCGACCTTGTATTTTATGGGCTATTTTCCTTCCTAAAGCACGAATGTGGAGAAAATTTAAAGCAAATAGAAAATTAACTATATATTATAATCTACTCATTATTAACATATAGCTCATTGAAATTATAAAATCAAGCTAATTTAGATCTGGAATCTTTGATAGTCCAACCCCACCACATATTAGTTCTAAATAATATGATTTAAATTGACATATATCTTACACAGTGTTATGAAAAATCTCCAAGATTCAGGATAAGCAAATGCCAATCACACGGAAAGGCACATAGAAATACTGAGAATACAAATAATACACAGATATACATGATTCGATTTGTAACCTACGTCCACAAGCAAAGGAGGAGAATAGCTTTATTATTAAATTTTAAGGAATACAATGTAGAGATACCTCAATAACTAATCAAATCACATCCCAGAAAGCACTTCATGCAATCTTTCTAACAATCTCTAACACATGCAGAGCAAACCAAATATAGAGTCAATTCAAGAACCTCTTGAATTTATTGTTTCTATCTGCAGAGTCATCTTCAATGCTCACTGCTGTTGTCGGCGTGTCAAATACAATCTCTCTTTTACCAAAAAAAAGAAGAAGAAGAAAAGAGAGTCAAACAGATAAGCTGAATTAAATCTCACGACTTCAAAGAAGACTTCTGTCTTCTATCTGGACTACATGATTAATGTTGTGGCTCAAAACCGATAAGTCTTCGTAAACAACAGAAACTTGTTCTCTCTGTTCATAAGCTTTATGATGCACTTGAGATCTATTTACTAATGCCAAGGCATGTAGCCATGGACCCTTAAAACCCCATCCAACTTGAGTTTCCTATCCACAGTAACTTTGTTCTTATCCATTGACTACAAACTTCAAATCTATTGCATAAAGAACCAGCAAAGCACTTGGCAGACCACCAAGCCGAAGATGGATCAGATTCGATATTTGAGTCACACCAGAACAAATAGTACTCAAACAAGACATAGTTATAATCTTTACGAATTAATATTTTGAACAGAAATCATCATAAATGCAGTATAAGTTTAGATTTCTTGTTCAATTCTTCACGGCATAACAAATCCTAAGCTCTATTGTCACGGGTTCTTTTTCCGTAACAAATGTTGCATTGAGCATTTTCAGTGGGTAATATTTGCTGTACTTACAGTTACACCACGTCAAACAAAGCCCTCTCAAAATAATATCTGAGCTATCTATGCTTGGATAGGCCGGCCTGGCCCAAGTCCGGTCTAGTTACACGCCTATCTTTGCTGTCAATGCTGCATTAAAAATTAAACTTCTGAGAAAAACAAAATATGCAGATCAGGCTTGTACTTGTGTGACGACTACAACAATAGCTGAAGCATCAACAGCATCAGCTTCGTTGAATCCATTTTGGATTTGATTTTTAGCAAAATCTAGCAACATTGAAAATTTTCTGTGACATTGAAAACTACGCCCCCATTGTACTAATCCAAATGTATGCTACATAAAACCATGACCATGAGCGTAGATCATGAACTAATTCTCTTGCTTAGATCTCAACCGTTGGCTTTTCCTCTTTAGTTTCTCCCCGCCGCCGCCCTCCTCCCCCGCTGCACCCCCTCTTAGGGTCTGTTTGTTGCTCTAAAAAAAATGGGAAATATGTTGTCACCTCAACTTTTAAGAAATGTCTCATGTGCCACATGGGTTTTTGTTTTCAAGAGGTTTCAATTTTAAATGTTTGTTTCCTTTTTAATTTTCAAGAAATGAAGTGCCACGTAAGATGTCACCTCATATTTTTAAGAAATGTGTTTTCATAACAAAATGGGCTGAAAACACTTGGAAATGTCTCATCTGAGAATTATTAATTAGGGCCTGTTTGGCTATTTCCAAAAAAAAGTCGGAAATGAAAATGGAGCTCTTGAAATGAATTCAAGACAATTCAAGACATTTCCTAGTTTTCATTTTTTTTTTTGTTTCGCAAAGAAAATGTATATTTTCACTGCTAAGTCACAAACAGACAAAAAAAAATCTCCATACAGTGCTTTGATTTCTATTTCTTGTGTTTGTTTGAGAACAAGAAAAAGGAAATGAGAAATGTGGCATTTAAATATTTTGTTTTATTCTTCTAAACTATTCAAACAATGCTTTTACTAATTAATAATTCTCAGATGGGATATTTCCAAGTATTTTCAGTCCAATTTGGTGTGAAAACACATTTCTTGAAAAATTGAGGTGGCAACACATGTGGCACTTTATTTCTTGAAAATTAAAGACGAAACAAACACTTGAAATGGAAACCTCTTGAAAACAAAAACTCATGTGGCACATGAGGGTTTTCTTGAAAGGTGAGGTGGCAACACATTTCCATTTTTTTTTAGCAAACAAACAGACCCTTAGTAAAAACACTGTTTATGAGGTTATGAAGAATAAAACATATTGTTTAAATTGGTTTTCTCTCTTTTCATTTTTCTTTTTCTCAAACAAACAAAAGAAATGAAAATGTCCAACACTATTACTATGGAGGCTTTTTTTATTTTTTGTGTGACTTGGCAGTGAAAAGGGGAGTTTTCTTTGCGAAAAAAAAAGAAAACTGTGAAATGTCTTGAAATGTCATGAAAGCATTTGAAATGTGACATTTCCATTTCCCTTTTTTTGTGGAAATAGCCAAACAGGCTTTTTGTACTCGTTACTGATACAGTTAAGAATCCTGGTCCTGATTCGGATGAGAAGCTTACGTTCAGAGCATTCTATGGCTACAGGTTATTTACTTTTAGGACTTTCCCCCGTATGTTTTCATTCCTATCTTTTCCACTAATTTTTAGGGTAAATTTCGAAAAACCTCCGTACGTTTTGGTGGCTCCCAGATAACTCCTCTTGACATTTAAAATGTCAAAAAAAACCTTAAATTTTATCAGAAACTCCCTTAAACTTTCAACGTTTTCCCAAAAAATAAAAAACATTTTAAAAAAACTTAAAGGAATAAACTGTTAGGATATACGTCAACAAGAACGCCTCGAACGGAAACGCAATACAAATCCAAACGATTTTAGAATCACAGAATAAAGACACAAATTCAATCACAGTACTCACAGATATAACGTGGTTTACACTTCCGGAGCTACTCCACGGTGCAACGACGACGCCCAGTTGTTTTATATTCCAAAAGTAGATCAAAGAGAACACATTCTCTTGATCAAGATACGCTCCAAGCATTCTCACAAACCCTCTCCTTGATATTAAGAAAAAACTCTTTATTTTTCCTTTCTTTCACTCTTCTATAAGAGGAGTTGTTTCTGTGATTATTTTTCTTGAAGAGTTTTGGCCCTATAGTATTTGAGAAATACTATACACAAATAAAATATTACTGATGGGACCCACTACTAATAATATTTTATTGATAGGATCTGCCACCTTTTTATTTTTCAAACGTTGTAGAAACTTTCGGTGGAATATTAAATAAGTGGGACCCACCACTTAATTAAAATTTAACAATGGTTGCTGGAGGCTGCTAGCTAACAATCTCCCACTTAAAGATTTGATTGAGTATCAATCATATCTTCACACCATTCTTGGTTGCATCATCCAGATGTCTTGTATCTTTGACGTCTTGCACGATCCTCAACGTTCTCAACGGAGGCTATGAGACTGCACACAGCCTCACCTTCTCGAGCGGAACTAGCTTGGTCAGCATATCGACTGGATTGTACCTTGTATCAATCTTCACAATCTTGAACTCGTTCCTGCTTTGTCATCTTCATATGGCATGGTGCTTCACGTCAACATGCTTAATTCGAGCATGGAATGCGTCATTCTCTAACAAGTGAATGACACTCTGACTATCGCAATGGATGAAATATTTCTCAAAGCTTACCCTAAGCTCAAGAAGGAAAGCTTTCAAGCATAGCAACTCCTTTGCTGCCTATGCTGCAGCCACATACTCCGCTTTGGTTGTTGACAAAGCCACGTCATCCTGTAACTTGGATCTCCAACTTATCACTCCACCATCCAAGATGAAGATGTAGTCGCTCGTGCTCCTTCTTGAGTCTATGTCCCCAGTGTAGTCTGCATCACAAAAGCCTTCTAGCTGTAAATCCGTCTCGCCATACTCAAGACAATGGTCGGACGAGCATCTCAAGTAGCATAGAAGCTACTTGACCGCACCCCAGTGTTGCTTCCTCGGATTGCTCATGAAGCGGCTCACAACTCCCACTCCTTGTACAATATCTGGCCTCGTGCACACCATTGCATACATCAAACTCCCGACAGCAGATGTGTATGGTATGTTGGCTATAAACTCATGTTCTTCAGCAGTCTCTGATGCTTAGGTCTTCGATAGTTTGAAATGGCTTACAAACGGCGAGTCCACCGATTTAGCTTTCTCCATGCCAAACTTTTTAAGAATCTTCTCAATGTAGGCCTTCCGAGACAACCTCTGCATTCATGCTGATCTGTCTCTGATGATCCTCATCCTAAGAATTTGGTTTGTTGGACCTAGATCCTTCATCTTGAAGCACTCAGAGAGACGCCTCTTGAGTTCTTCAATGTGGTCCAAGTCAGGCCCAACAAACAACATGTCATCAACATAAATCAAGAGTATCACATAGGATTCGCCATACCTCTTGATAAAACAGCAGTGGTTTGTGTCGCATTTGAGAAAACTGTTCTCCTCCATAAAGTTCTCAAAGTTCATGTACCACTATCGTGAAGCTTACTTCAGGCCATACAAGCTCTTACGCATGCGACACACGAGGCCCTCCCTGCCTCATTCCTCAAAGCGCAATGGTTGATTCATATAGATCTTTTTTTCTAAATCTCCATGAAGGAATATCGTCTTCATATCCATCTACTCTAGATGGATATCTCGAACTGCCACAATGCTCAGCACAGTCCGGATCGTGGTTAACTTGACGACGGGAGCGAAAACGTCAGAATAGTTTATCCCTACTTTCTGCTCATAGCCCTTCACTAAAAACCTCACCTTGTAGTGTCTTTGTCCATCAGCTTCATCCTTGACCCAATAAATCCACCGATTGTGAAGAGCCTTTTGCCCTCTTGGAAGCTTTATGAGCTCCTAAGTCACATTCTGCATCAAGGATTTCATTTTTTTTCTCTATATGGCAGACTCTCACTTGCCCTGAGCTTTGCCGCTCTACCATACCTCCTCATAGCTCTCAGTCTCACCACTATCAGTCAGGAGAAGATAATTCATGATCGAAAGGTACCTCTCTGGCACCTTCGGATTTCTTGGAGCTTTGCAAATTGCGATCGGCAACTCTGCTGGATCATGCTGTTGTGCATCCGACACGTTCTCTTGGTCTCCGTCTTTTATGCTAATTGGTATCTCACTGCCATCCTTACTGTCAGTAATATCTGGGAAAAGAGGGGGAGATAGCTGACTCACACTCACCTCTTTGGTCTTGTACACCGTATTCTCATGGAACACGACGTCACGACTGTGCACCACCTTACGCGTATCGTGATCCCAGAAATGGTACTCATACCAAATACTCATAAGTGTTCTAGCATCAACTTCTTTTTGGTCCAAGCCTCTTCATGTATCTCATAACTGAGAGCCGCAGATGGCATGTGGTTGATCAAGTATGCAGCAGTATTGACAACTTCGGTCCAAAACTCTTGGGCAATCCGGAGTAGATCCTCATACGTTTGGCACGCTCCAAGATAGTACGATTCATACGCTCCGCCACTTCGTTGTGCTGAGGTGTGCCTGGGACGGTCTTCAGTCTCCTAATCCCATAGGATGAGTAGAAGTTCTCAAACTCATGGCTGTAATACTCGCCTCCATTATCAGACTTTAGACACTTCAGCTTATTGTCTGTTTCGTTCTCCACACAGGCAAGCCACTTCTTGAAGATGGTAAAAGCACCCGACTTGTGCTTCAAGAAGAACACCCATAGTTTTCTAGTAGCATCATTAATAAAAGTGACAAAGTAAAGAGAGTTGCCAACATATGGGACTTGCGCAGGTCCCCACGCGTCGGTGTGGACTAACTCTAATTTCTGCAGTTTTGGAGCCGGTTTAGTCTTGTTGAAGCTCACCTTCTTCTGTTTGCCTAGGATGAATTCCTCACAAAAAGTCAAATTGATCTTGCTCAGACCCGGAAGCCTCTCTCCCGCGACCAGAATCTGCATCCCCTTCTCGTTCATGTGGGCAAGTCGCCGATGCCAAGTCATGTAGTCGGCGGATGATGATGATGCTTATCATGCGGCAAGCAAGTGGTCGATCTTCCCATTGGCGATGTAGAGAGACCCCTCACACTTGTCGTGTGCCACCACCAGGGCACCCTTGGATACCTTCCAGCTTTCCTACTCGAAGGATACTCTATAACCGGAGTTGGTTAGTTGCCCGACTGATATAAAATTACGCCTGAGATCCAGTACATACCGAACGTTGTTCAGTGTTAAGGTGGTCCCGCCCTCCATCTTGAGGGTGCAATTCCCTTCCCGGAAATCTTACAAGATTGATCATCGCCAAGATAGACTGTCCTCAAGTTCTTCTTCACGAACGATGAAAGCAGCTTTTATTATGAGGTTGCATGGAAAGATGCATTAGAGTCAATGACCCACGCATCGCTTTTGTCTTCTAGGGATAGGAGAAACGCATCCGAATCTGTTTCGTGCATGATGCCAGTCATCGATCACCTTCTTTTTATGCTGCTCCGAATCCAGATGAGCGAGTTGGTCCTCTAATTTATCGACAACGGTTATGGACGCCTAAAATTTTGATTGCAGCCCTTCGAAGTCCCTCCTCGACTCTTTGAGAGACATGTGACTTGATCGAGCCTCTGCCTCAGCCATCGTCTTGTGACACTTCTTAAACTCGGCCTCCGCCTGTAGATAAATTATCTCCCTTTGAAGATCCTCGATGGTTCCCACCTGCTTAGAGAACTGGATCCGAAAGCTCCTGAGGAGCTCTTCTTTCTCATCCAGACTCCGACTCGAAGCGTCTTCTTTATGAGCTAATTCGGCCTCCAAGACAGTGATTCTCTTTTTTGCCTCTTCCTTGACTGACTTATCCTTCGTTAGCCCTCCTTGGCATTCTAAGGAATGCTCAAGTCGATTGAACATGACATGTCCTAGCAAAGTCCCCCGAGCTAAACAAGCTTGAAGAGCTTGGTGTATGCCAACACTTGGCATATCTTCCAAAATCCTCCTATCAATATCATTCTCTATCTGGTCTGATGGAGTTTCAGCTCTCCCCTCGATGTCATCGTCCACCCTAATTGGCTCCTCGCCAGGGCGACGAGACACCTCAGAGATAGTACTGGGGTCGACAGCATCCTCTTCGACCGCTAAGACCGTTGTCTCCCTGCCAAGAGAAGACTCATCTATCCACCCCATATTTTCCAAACGGTTAAGCTGAGTTATCAATGGACCCGTTCCAGCTGGTTGGGATCTCACAATCAGTCCGATTGGGCGCCGCCTCTCAACCCTTGTCCGTCCTCTCAATTCGGAGATAATGTTAGCTGCTTGAAGCATCAAGACAGCCACCTCCTTAGCACTGAAAGCCCCCTAGGCTTCTTTTGGCGCTTAGCAGTAGAGCTCGTCCCATCGACCCCTATATTCCTCTTGTGATTTTTTCGCTAACAGAGGAATGGGGCTCGTCCTTGCCTGGAAGCCAGTGGAAGACAAGATCATAGATATGCCCGTCGTTTGGAGAGACATATCATCAAACAGATCCTCGCTCTCTTGTGGCCCGACATAAGAATGGACATTTTCCAGATCCATCATCTCAGAAACACTATGGGTAACTGGCCTCAAAGCGTCTTCATTCACCTCCGTCTAGTCCGAGCAGGCGAAAACGCTATCGCCGTCATAAACCCACATGAATCGCCTCCTCCAGACCTCATCCAACTCTAAAGAATCGAAAATAAGCTGAAACTCTTCACGATAGTGGAAACAATAATGCAGGTCCTTCTCAGCAGACCCCATGCTGATCAAATACCCAAGCAATCTCAATCTTGGTTAGAATCCAACACAGTGGCAAATGATGATGAAAGCCACTAGAACCCCTACTGTGTTCGGACAAAACTAGGAAGGGGAGACTCCAAGAGCGGCGTGCACCTCCTTAATGAAAGGATGTAAGGACAGTCATAAACCATCCTCCAAGTGTGCCAAGTACAGCAGTACTCGACCCTCACCATGGCAATACACTGGCTCGCTCATCTCTAACGCCATCAATGTGAGAGTTAGAGGGATGTTGTATTAATCATACAACCCCACCAGATTCTCCATATGAACCATTGAGCAGATAAGTAGAAGAATAGCGAGACTCTCCTCCTTACGGCCAGAGTTTGAAACTTGAGAGGCCATGGAAGACTTTTTCTTAAGAGAGCTTAGAGGAATATCAGAAATTTTTCAAAGCAAAAGTTCATAAAAGAGCTATCTTGGCCTCAAGTGGCTATTTATAAGCTCTCAAGGAAGAGTAAAGAGGAATGTCAAAAGAAGCTGTGATTTTCAAAGCGACCAGACCAGATCCACCTTAGAATCTAAAGCAGTTCATTCAAAACACTAAGCGTCACCCTCATTTAATGCCTCGCGCCCCAATACTTGAAAAGTGCGAGATCCTCCCTTATATCCAGGACACTTCATCTCCTAAAATGACGGTTCAAATCTTGGATGACGTCAGCCATGAATGGTGAAGCTAACAATGGTGGCCAATGATGATAAGCCACGTATCTAAGACAAATACTCCTCAGTTTCTCGTCCTCAGCAGGCCTGTATTAATCAGAGCATATCTTATTTCTTTCGGAATCGACTGAAAGCCGACTCCAAGTGAAAGGGGCTAACTGTTATGGTGTTCACTC